TAAATATGATTATATATTAAATGAAACTTCAATTTATATGATTTTATAATATTTTGTATTTTATTATAACAAAAAGTTAAATTCTTGATCACAAAATTTTCACTGTGGAATTTTCATTGTCTTAGTAATTTATAGTCATTTAAAAGATTTAAAATAGAGAATATAAGAAAAATCTAAATTTTGATTACATGGTTAATGTGATTGTTTAATTTTTTAAGAATATAAAATGAAACAAAAATGATGAAGGAAACAAAAATTGTTATCAAATATTTACTATTCCAAACCAAATTATCATATATATATATTAACCATATTAGGTAATTTTGTAACTTTTATTTAAAGAAAGAATGTAGAATATTATTTTATACACTACTAATTAAATTGATTATTAGTTTAATAAAAACTATAATATATGTTTAGATGGACTAATTTTTTTTCTAAGGATTCTAATAATCATTGTGGTAATTACACGTGGGTACCAAAACATGTTGTAGTGTTCCCCAATTAATATAAAGGGGATTTCTTGTCTATACAAGTTTTATAATATTTTATTTACTAAATTCATTATTCAATTACTAAAATTTTTAAATATGTGATTTTAAAAAAAAATTGTAATGAAATATGATTACTTTCAATTAATTTAGATTTTTTTTTAATTTTTACGAACCGTATCGGATACCGAATATGTGGGTAGTGTCGCAGCAAATCAAATCATAAAACTACCAAACCGGATGAAAAAAATAAATCACAAATATTTTTAAAAACCTGAATACAGATCTGTGTCCATCCTAATTGAAGAGTTCTATTTGCTTATGAAAGATCTAGAGATACACTATCGAGTGACTTTTCTTATGAAACTACTATATATTATGGATTTGTGGGAAAGTTGTTAACTTGACAATAAAAACAACAAAATTAATCATCTTTCTGTCGATCACATGAACTCAAAGAATCAAAATAGCATCAACGGAGAAAGAAAGCTAGATAAGAAAATATGAGTTCAACAAGCAATCATCATAGTGCTGCATCTCTACAATGTCAAGGATTTCTCTGTTTAATCCACTTAGAGCAAATGGTTAATTTTATAACTCTTAACTATAATATACAATGTGTCTTGAGAATGACTCAGATTAGCATAATTCCCCACGATTCATTCAATGTTTTTGAGAACATCCTTCAAAGTTCATATGTGCGCCAAGACATCTAAAATGGAAACAATCCATGAAATTATGAATATGTTATAGCTCAAGTTTCTTTTATAATTATAATTTGTTAAAACAAAGTTTCTTTTATAATTATAATTTGTTAAAACAAAGTTTCTTTTATAATTATAATTTTTTAAAACAAAGTTTCTTTTATAATTATAATTTGGTAAAACAAAGAGCACGAGACACTCATTAACCTTTATTGGAAACATTTTTACCTTCACCTACATTGAAACTTGAAAACATAATTTATGACGGAGGTTTTTTTTTTACGACAGTTCTCCAACGTTTATATAAGAATTTCCCGAGTACATATATATACTAAAACATTAACTTTCTGTTTTGGATGAGAAAAGAGGTGATTCCATTAAGACCACAATTCGATACCTTTACATGAATTTATTGGTATATCTAGAAAGTGAGAAATGACAAATTTTTTAATGAGAAAGTTGTGTATCTCATTGACACTCTCCAACATGCATCTATTGAGGTAACATATTTGAGAGAAGAGAAATGAAAAGGAGAAAACAAACGAGGATCATGACGACCCTTCTGTTATAGAGGTTGAGACAGCGTTCCCTTGAATATCTTGAAGCTCTACATATCAAATTGATGTGTCATGGAACGATAATGGTAGTGTCAGTGGTTTAGGATGGAGTATTAAGGATCAAATGGCATCTGAATTTTTCAGATTACGGGCGTGCAGCAAAAGCTTCTCAGCTTTGCATGCTGAGATAGAAAGTTTATTTTGGGCAGCCTCATGTATGAGAGACATGAGGATAACTTCGATACGGTTCGAGACGAACTGTTCATACCTATTGGACATGATTATAAATCCGCTGGATTAGCCAACATTCGTGGAAAAGATTGAAGTGTTTTAGAGATTACAGGAAAATTTCGAAGATGTGAATATATTTTATATTCTTCGGATTTGGAAGCATTAGCAAAGAAAGTAAGGATCATAAATTACATTTTTCCCAGATATATCATATCCGGCTAGACAGAAATGCTCTTCTAAAAATTGATTCATCTGACTACCATTCGATTTAGTTTAGATAGGCTATAAGAAAACGAACCACACCACTGATCGAATAACAAAAACACATGAGGAACATGCGTTTTTTTTGAGATTTTAAAGTTTCTTAATGTGAAAGTTTTTAACATTTGACCCAAGTCAACCAAAATTGTTAACTTTTACCTAAAAATGTATACTGTTTTTGTGTATAATATATTACAAACTACACTCTTCCAGTAGTTTTAAGTTTTAACGTTTTATACAGCAAATGAAACAAATATGTTATTATAAGAAAAAATCAAATATAGTACATAAAATTAAATGCAAGAAGTGATCTCTCTTAGATTATGTACATTGGTGTGAAAAATCCAACACCCTAATTTCTACTTTTTACACTCCACATCATCTTTTCTCTTACACCTAATCATTCAACACCCACTTATTTTTTATACTCTACAATGGTTTTGTTTAATAAAATTCAACACAATATCCTATATTTTTTATATTGATAAAAGCTTTCAATTCGTTTTATTTAAAATCATTAAAATTTTTTTTTATTTTAATTAATTTTTTTACAAATAACAAAAATAAAAATATGAATAGTCATTAAATATTTGTTTAAAACCATATTATTAAAAAGGTTGAGTAGAGAATTCAGGGAATTCACTTGCTCCAACATTCAAAACATTCTCATTATCCATCATAGTCGAAGAATGAGGAGGTGTTTGAGTTGGAAATGGCAACATCGATCGATATTGTGGACAATAGTTTAGAACTGATTGTGGCATGTAAAATTCTTCTGGAAAACCATAGTTTTGTATATTTTGTGGTTGGTTGAAAGAGTGGTTTTGAAATGAGAATTCGATCGAAAAAAATACGAACTTTGCACGAAATGCCAAAAGAACCTGTACTCGAGCCTGGCAAAACGAAACCTATACTTTTGTTGACTTTGTTAGTTTATCAAGAAACTTACGAGTTAAGTCAACATTAAATGTTGGCGTTACCTAAAACTTCGTTTTCAAATGAGATGAAACGACGTCGTTTTACGTATTTGAAAATAAAACATGTAGACCCTTGGATTTGAACTCGGGTTGGTTGGATCAATTGGCTAGGTATATTGCCATTAGGCTAGTGGCACTTTCAATGGATTTCTAACACATTTAGTTTTATTTAGTAGTGATTGAATATAAAAACTCTCTAAAAAGTTAAAAAGATCTTTAAAATTGCAAAAAAAAAAAAGAATTTATTTTATAAAATTAATTTTGAAGTTAAAATTCAAAACAAAATTTTACTTTTTTCTTAAAATCAAAAATCTTCCAAAATTTTCAGTTTTTGTTTTTAAATTCCAAAAAATTAAAAATTCAAAGAAAATACAAAAAAATAAAGTTACAAGTATCAGCTAAAAATTAAAACAATATTTATTTTAAGAATTTTAATTTATTTTAATATGTAGATATATTTTATGTGTGTATAATTAATTTCAATTTTTTAGGAATCGTTTTTTAAAAAAAATAAAAATTGTGAATTTTCTTTGAGTTTTTAAACTTTTTGGAATTAAAAAAAAATGAAATTTTTGCAAGATTTTTGATTTTTGATTTTTTTAAAGAAAAAAGAAAATTTTATTTTAATTTTAATTTTAATTTCAAAATTAAATTTATAAAAAACTTTATTTTCAATTTTTTGAAATTCAAAAATATTTTTAAGATTTTAGAAAAAATATTATATTTAATTAGTACCAAATAAAAGTATATGTTTTATTAAGAACTTAGGATGTTATATGTTAAAACTAATTCTGTTTGTCAATACATTGTAAAGTCCACTAGCTCAGCGGCAAACCCCCTCCCATTAACTACCATTTCATGGGTTCGAGTTGCGAGAGAAGCACTTTTTTTTAATAAGAAAGCTACCTTAAATGACGTCATTTTATTACTTGACGTCAAGATTAACGTCGACTTAATGGCGTCTAAATTATCTGTTAACTGGATTAATGGTGTGTTAAAATGGTAAGTCAATCGTAACTTTCTTAATAAACAAACAAAGTCAAGAAAAGTACATGTTTCTTTTGGCCAGCCAATATGTTCAGGTTTCTTTTGACAATTTGTGCAAAGTTTGTGCTTTTCTGGACGAATTCTCGTTTTGAAATTGATAGTTGTTGGGATTTGGATAGTTAAAAGAGTAATTAGTAGAATTTTGGGTATTAGAAAGGTTATTATTTGGATTCATTTAAATAAGGAAATAATCTATTATTATAAAGTTGAGTTTACTCCCTCATGCTCCCTCCACGTCACTAATTCACTCTCTCTCAAGCTGACATCTGTCACATTCCTCTTAAGCGCTGCGTTTAGCTTATATTTGTCCCTAATCAGTTGGGCTTTCATAAATTATTTAGGCCTAAAGTTATTGTTGTCAGCCCGTTTATTACCAACTTAGTTTCTCTGATACGCTGCCGTAAGAAGCCGTAACAATGGTTAGGGTTCGTGGATTCTCCTCTCTCAGACAACATGATGATAGCTTCATTATCTCTGTGTGACTGTTGTCTTTGCCTTTTAACTCATCAACCTCTTCGACTTCCTTTCCATCCAGACCAAAGGGCCATCAGTTACAAATCCATGACATGATTCGTGTTAATAGCTTCACCCACGATCTTGACATCAATGCTTTGTGAACTACTGAGAGTCGGTCTCTCATCGTATATAAATAGGTATGTTTCCAGCTATGGAAGCCATCCTCTTATCTCACTCTTAAATATCATCTAAATGGCTAACTCCAGAGTGTTTCTTTCAGATCTGAAGTCCGGCAAGTGCTACTCCACCGTCGAGGTTAGGCAGCTCCGTATCTGAGAGGCGAGGAATGTCAAGCGTTGTGGTGAGCTCAGTTGGCTTGATATGCTCATGGTGGATGTTGATGTAAGAAATCTCTCTATCTATGCCTCTGAATCATATCGTTATGAAAATCCGGCAAGCTAGGGTGTGTTTTTTTTCCTTTCGATCTATGCATTTAAATTGGTATAGTTCTCAAATTTTACCGAGCTATGGTGTGTTTTTTTTCTTTTGATCAAACTTAAGATCACTCATCATGTGAACACCAAAGAGTACCACACCTTCTCTCTGTTACATAAAAATGTTTAAACACTTTTGTTATTTCTGTGTGCAGAAGTTGAGTCGTTGAAAGAGATGATGGCGAAGCTACTGCTTGGTGAAGACATGTCAGGTTCTGGTGAAGGAGTTTGTCCTGCCATCTCTAACATTATTACCAATCTCTACGTTAATTAGCTTTAGCTTTGAATGTTTATATGATATTAAGAAGATAAATGGTGGCTTTCTCTGCCACGTGTGCCATCTGATGGACTCTCTGAGCAGTCTAGGAAGAATTTAGACCACACTCATAATTTAACTAACCAAATCTTGAAAGCGTGTATGTCAATCAACAACAGTGCTTTAGCTGAAATAGAAGTTCCACAAGCATACTTTGAAGCTCTTCCAAAGATATATAGTAAAAACTTTTAAACTGGATAGCCATTTTTTTTAAAGTTGCGTCTGAATCACATTGTTCTGTCTACAGAATGTGAGTCCATGCCTTGGAGAATTTATTTATAGAAGCATCACGTCTGATAACTTCTCAGCAGATTACTTGCTTGGAGTCAATAGATCTTTCTTCTGAGCATGCTGTTGTGGAGATGGCAAATAGTGTAGAATCATCATTGTACATCTGGAGGAAGAGAGCTCATTCAAGACATTTGATTTCACTTTATAGATCCACTGGCGCAAGACCCTCTTAGGGGGGGGGGGTGATAGTGAAAGAGATGGTGAATCAAATGGTAACATTTTTTATTGGTCGGAGAATAGAAGCAGTTCGCAGCCGAAGATAGCTCAAGAGAGAGAGAGCATAATCCCTAAACAGTAACACAGAAATCTCAATCTACATTTTTGATCTTTGGTTTTCTTGAACATTGAGAGCTACTAAGGGAAAGTATTTATCGATGTGGGTAGTGGAAAAAGAAGTATTGGAACAGGATTGTTTGTTGACACGGTGAACTGTGAGATGAGCCTCAAACCTGAAAATATGGGGGATAAGGAGTGGCTGAAAGAGAATGTAAAGAAGGAGGAATAAGTGGTGATGAAGGCAGAGGTTGAGGTGTTGGAGGAGATGATGAGGAGCAAGACGATAAAATGGTGGATAAGCTTGCTTGGAATGCAAACCAACGGGTACTAGGGCTAAGGGGAAGGAACATGGAGACAAACGTTAGAGAGAATAACTATTAAACCATGCGTTTTGTTTCTTCTCATTACCTGCTTTTTTTCTTCCATTTTTGTTGTCAGAATTGTCTTCTGTATTGTTGTGTTTTTTGGTATTTTGTGGTGTTATAATTTTGCGGATCTAATGAGCTTAACTAATTATGTTAAGTAATTTCTTGCTGAAGATTGCTTTATTTTCTCCTAGAATAAATGAACTCCATAACTTTTCGTTACAAGAAAGAAAAAAATTTGAAGTCTGAACATAAATTGAGAAGACTATCTATAAGAATCAACCAAACAATTATATAGTTCTTTACGCATAAATACAAACACAAAATGAAAACCCATTAATAAACATCACACAAATCCACATATAAACATCACGCACATTCACAATGTGAATATATATATATATATATATTCACATTTTTAAAAATTGGGCAGAGTCAACAAATGTTTAGAATAAAAATTTCTTCTATTTTAAATAAAAACATATCAAATATTAAACAAAAGTTGTCATAAGTGATATTCACATTGTATAGGCAACAAATTTTAAAATCAGAAGTGGTCGTATTTTTACAACTTACAAAGTACACAACAAAAAATTAGTTTCTGAATTACATTTATAATTAGAAATTTTGTATTATAATTATAATTTGAAGAATTTAGACCAAAATAGTTGTACATATGCTATTCGCTCATTGGAAAATAAATTCATTGTGTTTAAGAAAAAAAAACGTATAATCACGAAATTGAAATTCATTCTTTTTAATATTAAAATAAACATAATCTATAATACAAATAACAAAATATAAAAATTAAGATTAAACATCTTTACATAGTACAAGTCAGATTACAAACATATAAATTAACTCTTACTGAGTCCAACAAAAAGGATTCACTATAAGGCACTAAGTTTTAGCAAATGTAAACCACAAATTGATCATCTACAACGCACAATCGATTTATATACTTCTTTCCAGATCATAGCATAACACAACTGCAATTAAAAATATAGTACAAACATATCATACGTGAAGCATATGTACAATAATCTGGAAAATTATTTTAGACTCTACCAGGGCTTTCTTTCTGGGTATGTAAGGAAACGGTGGGAGAGAGATTTGGCATTTGGGACGATTCTCTTAGACTCTAGCAAGGCTATGTGATTTGAGCTGAGGATTCTTGGGGACTCTAGCAAGGCTATGCATGCCTCTGTTTAATTGGTTCAGAGTTGCGTCTTCTCTGGTGTTGGGCAGATTTAAGTTTAGGGGGACTGAGACCCTATAGTTTTTCCTGCTCAAGAATGTTCACAATAGGTTTAAAAGGTAAAAAGACAACTTCAATGTTCAACATATCAAGTGTGGTGGTTTTTAGATGTATTCAGATTGATTTGAGGCTTGGTCAAAGACTCTGAAACACACAGATCAGATTTTAGTGAAGGATGTTTGATCAAAATCCAAACAAACATGTATCGTTTCTAAATAGAAACAATTAATATTAGTTTTTTTTTTTGTGTTGCGTACTTAACTAAAAAAATGTTTTTGTTATAATGAATCAGCTATTCTTTTTAAGATTATATAAATCATCATTTTAATTAAAAAGTATAAAACAAAAGTGAATTCAAAAACTAAACATATCAAAAGAAATTATCTATGTTTTTTGTGTTAAATCCAACCGATTATAACTGTTTTAATTACATCATCAATCCTTTCAAAATTAAACTAGACCAGATATCAAAAGTAAAATAAAATAATTGTATTTTCATGAATTGTTTCAATAGTTGAAGGACAATAATAATACAAATAGTGGAAGTTGTTATAATAAAAATTAATGTTACATATAATGGAGAATAAATTAAATATTCAAGAAATTTTCCTTTAATTGGTTTTAGTATCAAATAAAAATATTATGAATACCAAAAATATTTATTAAAAAAACAATATGATCTCAGAGTTCTTTCATTATTTGTTTGTTTATAATATTTTCTAATTCTATACCAACTTTTAATGCTTTGTAAAATTAATATAATTCACATAAATAGTTTTTATTAACTTTCCGTCCGAAGGGCGGACCGGTCCTAGTTAAGAATATAATCAAGAGTTTAAAGGTAGATGATAGAATAGTATAGTAGAAAATAGAAGTTTTTTTTTGTATCCAAATTGAATGAACCAAGTCTCTGTTTATAGAGCAGAAAAATTATGAATTATGAATATGAAAAATAAATTTATAAATTCATTTTCTCATAAATAATTGTTGTAGAAAAATTAGGATAAAAAAAAAATTAAGAATCTAAATGTTCCAATAACATAAGGACATAAGTGGAAAATGAGATTCATTCTTTATTATTTCAACTGTTGAATTCTGTCAACATGTTGAATTCGCATATGCATACAATAACTTATTGTTTTGATTTTTTGTTTTCAACTGTTATAAAAATTCATTCAACACCCTATATGTAGCTTTACTCTCTCACTCTTTTCTTTTGGATAAGATGGTCAGTAAAACGCTTAATCAGGTAACATCATTAAAGTCACTTTTGAGTTAAATTTAATTTCGTCCTCTTGTTTTAGGATAACATTTATTTTCTTGTAATAAATTTTAAAAAATTACTGGAAAAGAAACTCAAACACAAATAATTTGACATAAAATCAGTATTTTCCAATAAATTGTTTTTGTCTTATTGTATGAATCAGACTCTGTCAAATGATTTGTCAGGTCTCAGTAGAAAATAGTACCAAAGGCTATTATGTTGTATTGCAATCTATTGCTATATTTAATTCATTTAAGAAGCATTTAGAGACGATACTATAGTACACTTTTGGAGTTATCTGAATCCTCTGCCTCGTTGGGAGGGTCTTGTACTCTTTGAAGCTTTCTACATATACATTACTTATCTTTCTCTTTCATTTGCCAGCAAAGAGAAATGGTTTAATGTTGTTAAGCTGTTCTCTTTTTTCACACTCTTACATAAATTATCACTTGACTAAAAAAAACACTTTAAAAGACAAGAAATTTTGCATTAATAGTAGAAGAAGACTTTCGTTCGTGGCTCTACTTGTGTATTATTTGGTGATTTGATATATATTTGTCTCTCTCTCTCTCTCTTTATCGATTTATGGATTCACGAGCTCCTGCGATGAGGCTAGAAGGGGAAGATGAGTTTCGAGAGGAAGAGGTGTGGTCAGTTTTGAGAGAAGCAAAAACTTCAGGTCATGAAATAAAAGTACCCAAAAGTCATTTTTCTTCCCCATCTTCTTCTACTTCTTTTACATCTTCACCATGGAACATTCATAGAAACATGGAGGTCTCGGGGACAAAACAGTCATCTGCACCTATGAATGTTCCTGATTGGTCCAAGGTTTATGGTAACGCAAGGAGCAAGGAGAGGAGTAGTCATAATTTGCATTCTCATGATGAAGATGATGACGATGGTTGCATGGTTCCTCCACATGAATGGGTTGCAAGAAAGCTAGCAAAAACACAGATCTCATCTTTCTCTATGTGCGAAGGAGTAGGAAGAACACTTAAAGGAAGAGATCTAAGCAAAATGAGAAATGCTGTTTTGACAAAAACAGGATTCTTGGAGTAAGTAAAATATAATATCCCATCATCATCATCCATGTGCATCGATCATGAATTCCATAACTCTTGTTAACATTATCACCATGAAAACTCTCAACTACATGACATCCACCTCATCATCATTATCAATGTCATTGTCGTCATCATCATGTGGGGATCACTAAACCAAGAGGCTCTTTTGTTGTTTAATTATTATTGTGTTTCAGTGTGTTATTTAGAGTAGATAAGTATCATAGTGGTGATGATGACTTGTCATCCCCATGCAGGCCCCCTTTTATTTTCTTCTGTTGTTTATTTTGGGTTTCTCTTTGAAGTTTTATCATCTAAAATTAGAGCATAACTAGAGAAGCATGTCCTTTAGAACCTTTAGTTGGAACCTCTTTGAGATCTTCACCATTTTTGGTGAAAGTTTCTGTATTTTGCTACTAATGTTTATATATTGAATTTTACCAAAAAATGTTACATATTGAAAATTTATTTTACTTTACATCGGATTGTTTGGATAAAAGGGCTGTCATCTATAAAGCATATATACAATGGACAAGTTCTTTGATCATTTATTCTTTTGATGCTTGATAGATCTATTATTTATTACACACAAATTCAGGTCTAAACCAGGTTAAATGGACCGTCTATTTCTTGCAAAAACCTAAAAATATTGCGTTTTAGTTTATGATTATGAAAACGTTTATAACCAAAACAATCAATCTAAAATTTAAATTAGTATACACAAAATAGTATGTTTTATAAGCTATACTTTTAAGAATTGAATGCATGATTTTCTTGTGACGTCTTTAGAATACTTTTTGTTTCGTTGGAAACTAAAGTAGTAGAATTAAATAATAGCGGTGAATGATTTGTATAAGAAAAGGCAATGGACACGTACCATAGATGAACAGTGAGATGAATAATAATGTAATGAGAAAACATCAAATACAGTTGGAATAAAAAAAAAAACGCTTTTATTATATATTGTTCGAAGTACTAAAGATTTTGTTTTAATAGTAGAAAAATGAGTTGAAGATGAACCCATCAATAAGGAACGCTTTTTTATTTTAGTGTCAGAAAGTACTGAAGATGTTTTAGTAGCAGAAAAATGAGCTGAAGATGAATCCACTAATCATCTTTAATTCCAGTGTCTCCCATCACTCTTCTTAGACTTGGCCTATTTGTGCCATTGCATCAAATCTGGATATAGTCGTGAATGTATTGCATCGAATCTGGATATAGTCGTGAATGTATTCTAAATTTAGTTATTAAAAAAATTGTAAAATGAGGGATTTGAATAAAGAAAACCCTTTGAAAACAACATCTACTCTAAAACTCGCTATCAATGAATCAACTAATTAGAAAGTAGTTCATATCACTATAGAAGGTATAGAACGGCAAAATCTTCCTCCAAGAGCCAAGCTCGCAAGACTAAATACTAAGTAGATACATTATGTATTTATGAGTGACTGAGTACAGATTGAGTTGGAAATGGTCATTGAGTTGTAGAACTTTGATATGTGCTATATAGAACACGCTTTGTATCTACGTTTCAACAATTTTTAAAACTTTGAGAGATGTTGTCTCCAACTGATCAAATTGGTTTAAGAAGAAGATTAAAAGAATGGCCAATCTAGGTTTTAAAAAATCATAAATCTTAAATGTATATGCTGATCACATTGTGTAAAGGGCTTGAACATGTGATTATATTATTATTCTTCTTCTATGATTATGAATTTGTGAGCTTCCAAATCCAAATAAACCTGTATTTAAATCATCGTAATAGTCTTGATCGGCTAATGTTGTAGATTCTGTCATAATTTTCCACAACACTAATTTTTTCTAATCGATTTTGGAATATAAATATCTTTTTCATTCTTTTTCATTGTTTTGTTCTGGCTGATCAACATACATAAACCATTAACATTTATTTTTATTTTTATTATAATTTTTTTTTTCAAATCCACAACCGAAAAGCCTGCATTATTAGAGTGTGCAGCCACCTCAAAAAAAGTTATAACTTTAATTTTAAAAGAAAAAGCTTAAGCTATAAATCTCCTTATTATTAATAGAGAAGCAAATTTAAAAAATAACATTTATTTTGTAATATATTTACACCTCTGCCATTTGCTGAGTTGTCAACAGAATAGCTTTTTTCAGCTAATGTTTAAATCTATCCTTGGTTATCAAGAGTAATTACAAATGATACCACTGGTAACATTAATATAAAATATAAAGTTGGTCACACATAAATAATAAAATCGTATGATCCCATCATATTATGAGTGGTCTCTTGCACACTTGATTATACTTCTGTCTTCGATTATATATCCTGCACAACAAAATGAATATCAGTTGTCATACCGGTGTACACTTCTTACGTGAAACTTACAGCATATTGACATTGGTAAGTACCAACTTTAATTTTTTTTCTAAAACATAAATGTTAATGGTTTAACCTACTATCTCCATGATAGGGAGACAAATTTTTCTGTATTTTATTGTATCAATTGTATTTTTCAAACCACCCAGATTATATGCATTATATAATTATTATACAGGTTCCTTTTTGGTCAACACACATTCAATTTAGTATATTTTAGTGTAAAAAATGGTATATTTAAGAAGTGATATTTAGGCCTGATATGAATCATATGGTTAGACTATTCAAGTTCTCACGTGATCGTAAATATTGAACAACCATACCAAACTAGAGCATATTAGAAATCGAAATTGTGTGTTTTTATTTTTACCAAAACCAATTATCAATCTGTTTAGTAAGACACTGTTATTAGTTTTAAAATAAGTAAATAAAATATCCACAAGTACGTTTCCTTTAATTATTTGGCATATAGGAAAGCTTTTATAGTTTGCGGTGTATTAAAGAACAAATATACATTATGACTTCTTTCCAAACAATATGGCTAATAAATGTATTTCGATCCGAAATAAATTTATAATACATAATAGTGAAGTCAACATAAGGCTACATTTTAGGAAATCAAATTTTAGTGTTTAAGTAAACTATTTAATTTGGCATAAAGAAAATCTTCTCTATTTTGCGGTGTATTAAATACATATTATGACTTCTTTCCAAGCAATATGACTAATAAATGTATTTCGATCATAAATAACTTTATAATATATAACAGTCAACAAGGCTACATTTTAGGAAATCAAATTGTAGTGTTTAAGTAAACTTTTAAATTTGTGTTGTATTAAATTTTTATGGTGGACCACATTTAGTATAAACATTGGAGTTTTCTCGACCCAACAAAAGTGACCACATTTAAATTTGGTCCATCATTAAACATTGGAGTTTTCTCGACCCAACAAAAGTGACCCATAACTTTTGTAACCAATTTGTTTCTCTTCGTTTACTAACAACCAGGGCTCACAACTCCTGTTAAACCAAAAAAAAGAAGTGATTTTCTTATCACACAAACTAAATTAACCTTTCTAATTTACCCCCAAGGGACGGGCAATATATTTTTTAAATATAAGCCAACATATTAAACTTTCCCTTTTATTAAATGAAAAAAAATCTATGATGCAATACTAAAATTTTAAAACAAAATTACAATTATATAACATAAATATTTATTTAATATTTCACCCCGTGCAAGACACGGGTCACTATCTAGTGTTCCCAGTAAAACTCAATGTTGACACTATAAAAAAACACATTTAAAGCTAGGACAGTTTTTCCTAGTTATTCCTTCGGTAAAAAGGGTTTACGAGAAAATAACGAGGAAAAGTATTTCGTCGTGACACATTCTTCGTAACTTAACCTTCCTCGTTCTTTCCTCGTTACGTAACGAGGATAAGTTTCCTCGTAAAGTCGTCTACAGCATTTTTTCGTAAAAGCCTCGTAATATTTTCTTCGTTAAAACCACATAAGATTTTTCTCGTAAAGCCCTTGTAATACTTTCCTCGTTAAAGCCACGTAAGTTTTTCTCGTAAGAGTCTCATAAAAAATTTCCTCGTTACTGCCACGTAATATTTTCCTCGTAAAATCTTTGCAAGTTTACGAGGAATTTACTTGTAAACCTTATTTTTCCTAAATTATAATATATAAATAAATTATTTTTAAAAATTGAAAATTGAAAATTCAAATAATAGAAGAAGAAAAGTAATAGATGCATAAATATTTAAGTTCTACAATAAAAGAAAAAAAAAAAACTACGGGTGTTGTTCGTGAAATTGGCGGACGAAGTCTTCACTCCTCTCTACCTTGTCGTTCTCCTCCTGGTGGTTTTGATATGGCTGTAGCTGAGGCTGTGGTGGTGGGTGTGGAATCTGTAGTTGTTCCCGCCTGGCACGCAACATCATCTCCAATTGCGGATTTCCAGCCGACAAAATGTCCAGAAAACCTTCGAGCGAACCCGTTTGAGCTTGCGTCGTGCTCAAATCAGAACACATCGCCTGCAACTCTGAACGCAGCTGAGCAGTCTCATTGTCCCGTTACTGAGCATACGAAGATGTCGCTCTTGAGACATCGTTAACCGAACCAATCCACACAATACGTCCATTTTTCTTAGGGATGACCTGTAAATAAAAGATTAACGTTATAGTTAATGAAAAACATAAATTAAATGAATAATAATAATAATAAGAAAAAAAACTTACCTCCTCGAAAATCCGATCCATGTCAGGTGTGGATAATACGACGGGTGTCCCATCGAGAGTCTGCTAACTCAGCTACGTTTGATGCTCCTCAACCCGAGAAATAACTTCGTTGTAGTTTCACTTAGATCAAGGATCTACAAATTTCCCAGCCTTGTTCTTGTGGGTCCGCTCGTAAGCTCCTTGTGAGATGGAAGAAATCCCGTCTCTTTAGCCTAAAAATATTTTAAGAAATTAATTAAAAAATATATATATATATATATATATATATATATTAAAAAATTGGTTATTAAAAAATTTAATTACCATATCTAGACGATCTCCGGCGTGAGATTTTTGACCTGAACTGTGGAGCATCTTCGTGTTTCCATACTCATCTTTGGTCAAACGGTTAGCGGAGTAGTCGTTGGAGGTTCTGATCGACTCTAGCTGGTTTCAATAATGGATGAGTCCATCCCACACCGAATATGTGAGGCAAGAGGGTTTCCCCTTCTCATAACCATCCACCTCATAATCGTCCTTTCAGTTGGTGACCATGTCCATCGATCGTGCTTTCACCTTTTGCTGAAATTCACGTTTCACCTGCTCGTTCACTCCTATGGACCAACGACATTTTTGATGTAACAAAAAAGTATTAGATTAATAATTAGTCCAATAATATTAAAAATTTTCAATAAGTCTTTTTGGTGTGGAGTAGAAGGAGGACTTTCACATTTTGCTCAAACTCACGCTTCACCTGCTCGTTCACTCCTATGGATCAACGCCATCACTTATCGAACATATGTCTTTTTGGTGTACCATCCACCTCATAATCGTCCTTTCAGTTGGAGACCATGTCCAGCAATCGTGCTTTCACCTTTTGCTGAAACTCACGTTTCACCCGCTCGTTCACTCCTATGGACCAACGACATTTTTGCTGTAACAAAAAAGTATTAGATTAATAATTAGTCCAATATGTGGAAGAAAACTCAACAAAAAAATTATGAACGGTCCTATATGTGTAAACTGGAGAGGAGCTGAAAAGATTTCATACGGGGAGAACCTCTGGAGGTAGAAAGGGAAAGAAGAGGCTCCCGGATCGTGGAATGGAAAAAAGGAAGCAAAAGGTTCTCTCCACTAGACCAAAAGGTCCTGCTCCGTTTAGTGAGGATATGAAGAGCTTTGTCGCGAATTTGTTTCAGCAGAACTTTTCGGCAATGGAAGAGAGGCTACAAAAACAGATGGGTGAAAGGTTTGAGAAAATGCATTATGAGCTTAAATATTCCTTTAACGATGCAGCCGTGGAAGTTGAGCCATCTTCTAGCAAGCCAACTGATACCAAGCCATCTTCCACCAACCTAACTCCTAGCGAGCCAACGTCTACCAAACCCTCAACGAGCAAGCCATCTCCTACCAAGCCATCTTCCACCAACCTAACTCCTAGCAAACCAACGACTACCAAACCCTCAACAAGCAAGCCATCTCCTACCAAGTCATCTTCCACCAACCTAACTCCTAGCAAGCCCACGTCTACCAAACCCTCATCGAGCAAGAAAACATCTACCAAGCCATCGCCGAGGAGGTCCACTCGCTTGGTAAGCATGAGAAAAAAAACACTAGTCTACTCCACTCTCAAATGTTATTGTGTGTTTGTCTGTGTTAGTGTGTTTGTGTAATATATTTATGCAATGCTTTTGTAATTCGATGTGTAAACTATGCTTTTGTATTGTAAGATAATGGAACTATGTGTAAGATACTCCGGTCATAATCTATGCTTATGTTTGTGTTTTTGTATGCTTTTTATATTTGTTATTATACTAGCATTTAATCATTTATCTTCAATTAACAGGATGACAATTTCAGTGAAGCAAAAGATATGGACATAGAGATAGATACGCAAGATCTAGAAGACCTTTCTCAGATTTCGAACGTGGCAGGTTTTGATCCATCGCAGACTAATAAGGACATGGAACCATGTGATTGGTGGACTCCGATGAGTACAGTCCAGAAAATAAAGGTCGAACCAGTAGAAAATAAAGCTCCACCGCCAACCAAGTGGACTAAATGGCAAAGGAAACTTGAGCTTAGTGACTCACCCATGCCGTCTGATGGTTCTCCACAGTCCTCACTGTATTGGTTCAACGAAGAATCATGGGATACATTCACTGAATGGTCTATGAACCCGACAACTTTAAAGATTGGTCCTACAGCCTTTAATATGACTATAGCTACGAGAGTAATAGGTCCTGAAAAATGGCTTGGAAACGATGTATTGCTTTCTTAATTACATAAGGTTGAATTTGAGAGTTTCTTTGAATACTGCATTGATTAATTTTCCATGTGAATATTCAGGAAATGGATGCGTTCATGTATATATGGCGAGTGAAAACTTCTTTGAGGCATTGGGCACCAAACCGTGTTGCTTTCATGCCCGCCTTTTTTTGCCTTCAAGTTGAGAAAGGATACCTCAGCTTTACAGGTAACAAAAAAAGGCTATGTATTAGGCGATATTCTTCTAGCTTACGGAAGAGGAGAACTTCCATATTATGGGCTGACTAATAGAGTATGGGGTGTCGATGTTGATCGTCTCTACTTTCCTCTGTTTGTCGGAGGTAATATTCATTGGTCATTTTTACAGGTCTTCATTTAGATACCTGTATTAAAAGATTTAGCAATGTTCAATGCAGGTAATCACTGGATAGCTGTCTGCGTCAATTTCATTGAGAAGACAGTTGAAGTATTTGACTGCTTGCAGGGAAGGAATAGGCAATACGTGGAGAAGTTTGTTGTTATGATTCCTAGGATAGTAAAGGCTGTTGCACCACCTCAAAACAAGAAGCATTTACTCCTGGAAAAGTATTCTACGGTAGAGGTACCTCTGAAGGCTAGATTGAACAAGAGTTTATGTGATTGCGGGGCATATGCACTCAAACATTTGGAATGCCAACTCATTGGTATTGACCTCAGTTTAGTGGATGATGAAATCATTCAGGGTTGTCGTCAAAAGATTGCTCTTGATATATGGGAGGCTGCAAAAGATCCCATTTTAATTGATTTGATGGCACAGTATGTGCCTTCTAATGTTGAGTCATCTATTGTATTTGACCTCGTGGAAGACTGATCATGTGTCTTTGGGTTTAAGTTTTAGTTTGGTTTTTAGCTGATGACACTACTTTGTATGGTTTTTTAATGGATTTATGTTACAATACTAATTTAGTTTTTTAATGATGTATCAAATTATTTGCTATAGTCAGCCCGAAATCCTAACTTAACCTTTAAACAACCCTAACTAAACCCTAAACCTTAAACCCTAAACCCTAACTAGACCCTAAACAAACCCTAAACAAACCCTACACGCTAAACCTTAAACTAACCCTAATTAAACCATAAACCTTTAACTAACCCTAACTAAACCCTAAACAAACCCTAAACAAACCCTAAACAAACCATAAACCTTTAACTAACCCTAACTAAACCTTACACAAACCTTAAACTAACCCTAACTAAACCATAAACCTTTAACTAACCCTAACTAAACCCTAAATAAACCCTAAACAAGCCTTACACAAACCTTAAACTAACTCTAACTAAACCCTAAAATTAACCATAAATAAATAAATCTTTGCTTCATGTATTTACACAGATTTCCAGGATTCAAAGAGAAAGCACAAACGTTTAAGAGTAGGTTGTATTCATTATTTTTGTAAATTTTTTTGATCTGCCTTAGGTAGAATACACAATATTTAGATATGGATACGACGTCGTTTTGCCAAATAGTTTGACCTAGTCATTTTTTTTCTTCATTTTTGCACGGCAGAGAGAAACCTAGGGGATGAAACTTGGAGATCGAGACAATCATGTCTTCGATCAATTATCCGGCCGAATCAAGATACCGAGTACCCTAACAACGGGGTATTCCCACTAGATGCAGATGCGGTGAAGGGCTATTATTTTCACTTCGAAAACATGGGAAAATCCAGGTTGATTATTTCACTGCTGTCCGATGGGATCTGAGAAGATTAGTCCTTTAATCATATAATCCTAAATTCGGTATAGTCTAATAGTATGTTTGAATTTCATGGTAAAGGACAAAACACACTTGTTCAAATGGACGGATAAGTCAATTTTTGAAGAAATTGAAGACTTGCAGGAAGTGGTTGACGTGGTGCTCATTGACAATATCCAGTTTCAGAATTCAATGAAAGCTTCAGAGATCCTGCTGAAACAACATGAGAGCAGAATTGGAGATATGGAAGATGCAATTGCACGTTTTGAAGCCAAGAACATCGAATGCAGTAGAGAATTAATGATCATAAAAGCTTTGTTTGTGTGTTGTTTGGTGATGGTATTCATGTACCTCACGTATACATAATTGTCTTTTGATGATCACATTGTTGTTCTGTTTTTCTCTCAAATAAATGTAACGCAATATTTGTTGGTGATTATCATCAACTTGAACCTAAATGTTGCAAACACCAAATCGTTTTGTCAAATACCAAATTGTCATAAAGGAGAGAACAACGACTAAATAAGAATATCACAAGATCCCGACCACACACGATTAACTAAATAGGAATATCACATGTTCCTCTCTTGTGCCCTGTCATACCACAACGGCTGCACTTGTGCTTCTTATTCTTCTTTGATCCTCGAGAAGATTTTATCTTGTCTTCTACTGTTTCATACCTTCTCTTTACTGGTCTACCAGCACTCTTTGTTGTCTCTGGTGGTAATACCTTTGCAAGTTTTACTTCAGCTGGGACAGTCCATTCATGCTCTGGAACTGCTATTGGATTAATGCATTCCGCATAGACGGTTCTCCATGTTGCAGTGGAGTATACACCATCAGTAAATCTGTGTACTTCCATACCTATGTCAAAAAAAGAGATCAAGTAATGTTTATGTGCTACAAAACACTGACCATTTAATAGGTCCCAATATCATTTATTTGCACTTACATACCTCGAGAATAAATTGCTGGAATGGCGTGCCGGCAAGGTATTTTCCCTATATCGTACTTCCCACATGTATATGTTCTCCTTTCCAAATCAACATGACAATCATATGTGTCTCCTTTCACAACCGACCTGTAATTGTCAACCTTGTACACCTGAAATCCTTTTGCCTTCACAATTCTCCTATCAATCTTTTTCTCAACCTTAACGGTTAAAGGATCCAGCTGCTTCGAGCTTACAATTCGACGCTCGTAGAACCACTTGGTCATCATTTCTCTTATAATATCTATCAAAGGAATAACTGGAAATTCTCGAGGTGATCTCATAACAGAATTTAGTGACTCTGCAGGGTTATTAGTCCTAATGTCATACCTTGAACCAAGGAAAGCAAAACGAGCCCATTTTCTCACATCCGCTTCTTGTAGATATCTTCCAAGAGCAGGACACATATCAAAAATTTTTGTGTAACGTTCTTGAAACTCACTAAACCTATATGCCTGTAAAGCTTTTTCAACCAAAGCAGTTAACCCCTTTGTCTTGAATTTCTTAACGACATTGGTCAACAAGTGATGAATTCATATTCCATGTCTTGATTGAGGGTAGACAGTACCAAGCGCTTTAACAATTGACGCATTTCTATCTGACACAATAGCTAAGCCGTTACTATCAGCGATAACAACATTCAGTTGTCTAAAGAACCACTCCCATGAATCATGATTCTCTGAATCAACAACTCCAAATGCGATCGGATACAAATTGGAGTTACCATCTACAGCTGTAGCCACAAGTAGAACACCTTTATATTTATTTTTCAGAAAAGTTTCATCAACAACAATCACCTTGCGAATGCCATTGTAGAATCCTCTAACTGATTTCCCAAACGAGAGAAACAGATACTTGAATCTCCCTTCCTTAGTGGTTTCATAGTGAGTATGCGTACCAGGATTAGCTTCTTTAACCATATACAAATATTTTGGTATTTTTGCATAACTTTGATAAGGTATACCTCTAACTGCTGCAATTGCAAACTCACGAGCTTCCCAGGCGTGCCAATAACTAATCTCACAACTATGCTCCAGGCGCATATACTGGACTATGTCATTCGCTTTTGGTCCTTCATGGGGATCCTTAAATCTATGTTGTATCAAACTCCCAATTGTTCTTGCTGACGCCATTTTCCAAAATTTGCTTCTCTTAGAGGGCGCACATGAATAATTTGCCACACACTTGTTGATCATGAAGTATATAGACCCATCTAGAAATTGCACACGCATAGTCCAATTACATATTGAATCTTTACATCGAATATACCACCATTTTCTCGTCGATTTGAGAACAACATAATCGAAATTATTGTTCATCGCCCAAATTTCAGCTGTGGCCTTTAGGACAGCTTTACTTCTGAATATTTGATCCTTCGTCACAAAAACATTTCGCGAAGATCGGCCATCCTTATCACCATTGTTGGGGTCAAAATCGGTACGACGGAATTAATAGCCAAAACTCCCCGCGAAAATACAAAAAGAACAGTTTTATAAAACCCGAGGAATAGTTTTATAAAACTCGAAAAATCGTTTTATAAAACTCGAGAATCATTTTATAAAACTCGAGAATTATTTTATAAAACTCGAGAATCATTTTATAAAACTCGAGAAATCGTTTTATAAAACTCGAGAAATCGTTTTATAAAACTCGAGAATCGTTCTATAAAACTCGAGAATCGTTTTATAAAACTCGAGAATCGTTTTATAAAACTCGAGAAATCATTTTATAAAACTCGAGAAATCGTTTTTTAAAACTCGAGGAATAGTTTTATAAAGCTCGAGAAATCATTTTATAAAACTCGAGAAATCGTTTTATAAAACTCGAGAATCGTTTTATAAAACTCGAGAATCGTTTTATAAAACTCGAGAAATCGTTTTATAAAACTCGAGAAATCGTTTTATAAAACTCGAGAAATCGTTTTATAAAGCTCGAGAATCGTTTTATAAAACTCGAGAAATCGTTTTATAAAACTCGNCTCGAGAAATCATTTTATAAAACTCGAGAAATCGTTTTATAAAACTCGAGAATCGTTTTATAAAACTCGAGAATCGTTTTATAAAACTCGAGAAATCGTTTTATAAAACTCGAGAAATCGTTTTATAAAACTCGAGAAATCGTTTTATAAAGCTCGAGAATCGTTTTATAAAACTCGAGAAATCGTTTTATAAAACTCGAGAATCGTTTTATAAAACTCGAGAATCGTTTTATAAAATTCGAGAAATCGTTTTATAAAACTCGAGAAATCATTTTGTAAAACTAGAGAATCGTTTTATAAAACTCGAGAATCATCTTATAAAACTCGAGAATCGTTTTATAAAACTCGAGAATCGTTTTATAAAACTCGAGAAATCGTTTTATAAAACTTGAGAAATCGTTTTATAAAACTCGAGAAATCGTTTTATAAAACTCGAGAAATCGTTTTATAAAAATTGAAGATCGTTTTATAAAACTCGAAGATCGTTTTATAAAACTCGAAGGTCGTTTTATGAAATCCGAAGATCGTTTTATAAAACTCGAGAATCGTTTTACAAAACCGCAAAAAACCGAAAAAGCCGTAAAACGCGAACTAAGAAGCACTCTCTAGTTCGCCTAGGACATGCTCGACTAGTTCGCCCATCGGCGAACTAAGCCGGGCCCGGCTTAGTTCGCCGATGGGCGAACTAGAGACTTCCCGGACACTCCGCGTCTCGATTTCCCGCATTCCCGATTCGAAACTTATGTCTTTCGACAAAGTCGCATTCTAAACCACGACCGAAATATCTCCCGTTCCATCTCGATCCGACTTACTGTTCGAGTTTTACGATAAAACCGTAAAACTTTGTTTTCTCGGAAAGAACTCGAGGAAATCGTATAAAACGGCAACGGTTAAACGAAACACTGAACATTGCCTAAACTATACGATTTATTCGAGATTTCTCGTTAAAATCATAAAAACGCGCTTTTTAATAAAAAACGTCGAGTAAGTCGTAAAAAACGTGTTTTTAATAAAAAGTCGAGTAAATCGTAAAACCTTGTGATTAACTCGAGTAAATTATTAAAAACGACGTCAGATCAGGAAACGATCCCGTAAAAGTCGGAAAATGGTTTTTATCGCAAAACGGCCCGAAAGGACCTAAAACGCGATGAAAACCCATCTCGCGATTTTAACGGAATCTAACCCGCGGATTTGACAACGTTTTTGACGGTTTACTCGCAGAAAGAAAATAAAATTCAAGTTTAAAGATAAAAGGAAGGTTTGAAGAGAAATAGAAGATTTCCGCAGAAGAAAAGGAAGGATCGAGAAGAATGGAAAATTCCCGATTTAGTCAAATCTGGGCGAAATGGAAAGATCGGATAGCCAAGACGAGGAGTATATAAAGAGGAGGTCTAGGGCAGAAGCACACACACGAAATTCAGAGCGCTCACCACCAAAACTAGCATTTAGGAATCTTTCCGTTTTTCTGTTAGCGAGCTGCGTCTCAATTAGGGTTTTCTAGTTTTTACGTTTTCGGCTACTCTCTTTGTACCAGTTCAACGCAGATTCGGAATAAGAACCTTCTTGCTTTCAATCTCGCTTATTTTCATTTTAATTCTAAGTGCTTTCGTCATCTTAATCTTTGTTGTGCGGTTCTCGCAGATAGCCGGTTCCTCTGGAAACTTAGGGTTTTCCCGAAGTTTCCTTATTTACGATTTATTTGACAGTAGGGTGAAATCGACTCCCACAGTTTGGCGCTAGAAGGAGGGGGGGTCGGATCTATCTTACACCGTAACCGCAACATGTACAACGAAGAAACGTTGACTGGTGACAACCAAACTCGCGACGAACGCGACAACGTTGAAACACCGCTACCAAAAGACGCGCCTGCGGCCAACGCTACAAACGCTAACGCCGAGACCGTCGAAAAGATGCTTTCCGAGTTTAACAAAAAATCGGAAGAGCAGGAAAAGCTCATTGGTTCACTCGCAAAACGGCTCGAAACCCTAACTGCGAGAACNAACGTTGAAACACCGCTACCAAAAGACGCGCCTGCGGCCAACGCTACAAACGCTAACGCCGAGACCGTCGAAAAGATGCTTTCCGAGTTTAACAAAAAATCGGAAGAGCAGGAAAAGCTCATTGGTTCACTCGCAAAACGGCTCGAAACCCTAACTGCGAGAACCAAAGCAATTCGCCCCCGCGGAACTACCAAAATCCACGGAAGGAGACTCGATTTCGGCGCTCCTACGGATCGTCCCAGGACCGATCAGGGAAACGTACCGGAAAAGGATTCCGGAAAAGAAAACCCTGACACGACGCTGAACGAATCGGAAAAATCTCCTATTCGCGAACAGGAGACCAAAGGCGACGGCATCGAAAGGGTCAACCTGGAAACGAGCGACCAGGCCGACTCGA